GTATAATATAAGTGTTTTTTGACACTCATGTCCAAATCCGAGACTGGTTGTGACAAAATATTTATTTTTTGTTTCCAGCTATTACGAATCTGGTCCCTGTATATGTTATTTGCAGTATATGTGCATGTTTTTGCATGAATGAAGCAAGAAAATTTAAGAGAATCGGTGAAAGAAATAGCTTTAAATAAATAAAAATAAAATGAAGCAGGAGCTATCGGACACTAGCGGGGGAGGGGAGGGGGAGACCGGACTGCTTCACGATTTTCGTGCCCACCGGCCACGACCCCTCCTCGGCGGTAATGGTCTCATTTCCATATCCTCGTCCGGTCGGTCGTCTTCCTATCCTGTCAGCTTCGCGCTGCAGCTTCCGCCCTTGTCAGGACTATCAGCAGTAATAGCTGCCCATCAATGGTCTTTTTAATGAATGGAGAAAAGGAACAGAGGAGACAGAAACAGTTAATACAAAGTGAAGAAGATCTTAATGCAACAGAACGAACATCTGTACATATACAGACCATTTATTTTTTGTATTTGTTCATCATCGTTATTCTAAAGGAACTTTGTTCCAGAATAAGGTTTATTTTTCTATTTACCTATCTACAGAGACATACCGAGATCATTTGAAACCCAGAGTGGACTTTTAATGCCCCATGTAAATAAACGAAAAAGCCTCCTGGTGTGAGGCCACCTTAAGAAGATCTGGAACGGAAGTTGCGATCGAAGAGGTGGTGATAGTTGAGCGTGTTGAATCGTTGCCAATTTTAGTATAGTGGTGTTCAGCGACACCAGTTCGAATCCGTCTTGAGCGGGTTGAAATTTATTTGTAATAAATCTCGACCTTCCCTCTCTGATTAAAATGGTTTGGTTGTACCTCTACACTAGCGGATCCAGGATTTCATTTTGGGGGAGGGCTTAAGCCCGAAAGGTTTTTTTTTTTCATATATACAACGATAACTACTCTAAAAAAAAGGAAAGATACTACCTACATATATGAAATGGTGTGTATGTGATTTTTGAAGTCCTATTAAATGTAATTACACGAACAACAATACTTTAAGAGATATTTTTTACTATAAAACATGGTTACATTTTACCATTTTGGGGGAGGCTTCAGCCGGAAAGTCCCTCCTCCGTAGATCCCCCTGTGTACCTCTCGAATCCCTCCTCCCATCCCGTATCGAAAATGGTGAGATTAGAGGTAATCGAAGAAGAAAATGTTTCGAGGAGTGTTTAAAAAAAGTATGATAAGAAACTTTTATAAAATTCATTTTATATTCAAAAAGTATTATTTCACTATGTTAATTGTTTTTAATGCTCAGGTAGGGCCGGCTCTTAAGAGGGAGAGAAGAAAGGGAGTAATTGCCTTAGGCTGAAGAATTTAGGAAGCAGAAAATTTCAAGCAAATTTAATTTTTTGGTTAAGTTAAAAATTATTTGTTTCTTTTTATTGTTTACACGTTAATAATGACAATAAAATGAGTCAACGTTCTGAGTTGATATTTATTTCAAAAAAATATTACCTTACTTTTAAAATGGATGTAAACTATTATTAAGGAGGGAGAAGATGAAATAACGACATCTAAATTAAGTTTGCCCATTCCAAAAAAAAATTCATTGTTACAGGCAAAAAAGATCAAGAAAATCAAAAAGTATTTGGTGGCTATCTTCACAGATTCATTGAGTAAAAATTTTATAGTTTGATGTAAAGTAATATTTAAGATTTGACTGCATGATGTAATTTCTTAATTATTTATTCTCTTTGGCTCTTTGTGTAATATTTAATTTGTTTATGTTTTTGATTTCCACTTAAAACATTTGTGCATATCTATATTTTCAACCCTTTTATAATTTATCGCTTATAGCATCTATTATTCATGTTAGTTATTCATAGTTATATTCTCCCATGCTATGTTTTGGCTCAGCAAGAAAGAAAATGTTGGGGATTCCAGTTGTACAGGACTGAAGTTCCTGTAATTTTCATAAAATATATTTATAATTACTCGACACACACACCAAGAAATATTGAAATAAAAATTTTAATGGCAGTGAACAGAAAACTTTTTCACATTAATGAACTATGCAATAATCTTGTGAATTACACATATATATTATATTCGAACTGGATTAAAGATCATAGATTAAGCAGTACTAATTTGAACAGAAAGTGATGTTTTAAGTTTCCAGTCCATTATCACTGGAGTTGTTTTCTCGATATTTCATGGCATCTGTTGATAGTAGTTTTAAATATTTTGTTTAAATCCTGGAGAAATTCTCCTCAAGAATTTTTATTATGCATTTTGCACTAAAGTACATCGAAAAATAGTTTTTAGGGCAAAACCATTGACATATCCACAATTTTTATATAACTTGTTATTATTAAGTGTATAAATACGGTTAATGAAATGAATTCACAAAAATAAAATTATCACTAATGACAAGTTATCTTCTGATTAATGAAAATAATTTCTAATTTTCCAATGAAATTAAGAAAATAAAATACCCTACTTTAGTATCCCCATAGAAAATGGGGAACAGGGCAGACCACCTCTGTCCGTTCCGCCCATGGCACATATAAGTGTGTATATATATACAATATATTATATATATATATATATATATATTATATATATATATATATATATATATACATGAGCTAGATATAGGTGTATAGAAATAATAATATAAATACCTTTTTATAGAATAGGAGCTGCTGAAGGCTGCATTTAACAAAAGAGGTTATACCTAATAACCAATTTAAATTGTTGATAATACTTATATGAACACACAAAGTAATAATTTTTTTATGCTTATATTCCCTGACATTCTAACTTACATTGCATACCTTATTCATATCAGGGAAAATAAAAGGGTTCAAGTTATACCTAAACATTTAATACACTGTATTATAGTAACATATTTTGTAGAATAAACAGACATCCTGAATAGATATTTGTGAACTATAGAGAAATACTATTGTAAAAATAGATAAATACATCCTAAATAGACATTTACTCAGTATAGAGAAATACTATATTTTTTCAATTATATTACATCTTGCCTCAGAAAATAATCAGATCAGTATTGCTCCATTAGATATCTAGAGATTATTAAATTTTGTATTTTTCAGTTGGCTAAACTGATATAAAGCCAACAACTGATATTAAACCAACAACCACAACCACTGCAGTTAGGATTTCCTGTGTACAACCTTCTTTTATCATTTTTAAATTTTTTTATAATTCTTTTAGAATTTTTATATTTATTATTATTTATGGGATAGAGTTAATAATATGATATTATAATGGTAAACATTAAGGAAATATTGCAATATTAAACTTTTTAGAATAAACTAAATTCATTCATTTTTAAGTTTAAGGTAAAGATTTTTTATATAAAAAATTATTTAACCTGTAATCATTTTCACTATATTTTTTATTTCATATTATTTTCAATGTTTTGGCTACTAGACCATCTTCAGGCATATCTAAAAAAGCATTAAAAAATCAACTTTTACATTTCTAAGCAGAGGGTTACACTAATGTTTAAATATCTTAATTAAGACCTTATTTGTTTGTATCCTATTTACAGTAATTATATAGCAATGTTTGATTATTATTGTCCTTAATTTTATTAATGTGCTCTTATAAAAACTATATATATTTACATCATCACACTAATTTATTAATAAAATTAAATTAGGAACTATAAAGTAAGATGAGATCAATTGTAAACTCATTAAATTACATTTATACCTGAGGAAAACTTAACAAGTTATGGTGTACCTTATGGTGGCTGCATGGATATATCGGTATTGCTCATGTGCAATTGTTGAATGTTCCAAAAAATAATGAAAGTAATATATGAAAAAATATTATGAAAATTAATACCATCTAGTTTTTTTATTCTTGTATCATAGATGATGTTTTATGATGGACCAAAGCAATAGCAAGCTTAATTAAATAGCTCTGATGATAGTATTAGTTATTTTTACTTAATTAATTAAACTCATGGGAAACATTTCTATTTTGTTACCAAACTGATAAAAAATTCCTATCGGTTTTTGAATTTTTTGGACAATTTTCGAATAAAGCTTGCGTTCAAGGCATTTACAATACCTTGAAAATTTTACTTATAGTTCCAAATATATTTCTTTCTTTCCAATGGTATAACATGTTGTTGTTTTTTTAACCTCTCAATAAAATTTCATCATTAAGTAGCCGGTGTAAAGAAATTTACTCACCCAAAATTTACACTAACAATTTCAATATTTTCTGTATATTATTTTTTAAACATATAAAATATCATTTATTATACATGTATCATTAGTTACACATATAAAAATTTGTCAATTTATAATTTGGAGTACCCATCACAGTCAAATACTTATTGCTAATAATATACTATTAATATCAAATATATTACAATTTAGATAGTTTAGGACAAACAAAAATTATTAACTTGATTGATAACAATTCTTTTATATTACTAATACCTATATGCAAGGAATTAATAATTTATATAGTTTTTATTGCCAGTTTTCATTACCAGTAAATAACTTATTTATAAGAATATTTAGTTTACATTTATTATAAAAGTATATTTTTCCCTGTGTTTGTAAACATGTAAAAATAGAGTTAAGATTTTGATTTCATGAAATATATATATATAGATAGGTATATAGGTAGATCATGTCATATCTATTCTTTTTTCTAGGAAAAATAATATAAGAAATAATAATTTGAGTAGAAAATTCAAATAATAATCATTTAAGATGAACCGAATTATTTAAATTAAGAATTCCAATAATAATTTTAGAATCTAATTCAAATAATAATTAAATTACCACAGTTAAATATCCCTAATAATAAATACTATATCACATATTTCACATTATAGATAATTTATGGTATACAAAAGTTATTAACTTATATGAGCAATAACCAGTTTATATTTATTGTCAATCAAATCGTTGTCTCAATTTATTGACATTTTATTGTTAATTTATATTCGTAAATTTCTATAATCATTATAAGATATAGACAGATTATGAACAGTCTTTTTAATTCCACTCGTACTATTTAATTGTGTATTAAAGTAATGATAACTTGAATATTTGTATGTAGTATTTGCAACCCATGGCACATAAGTTATAAAGGAATATGTCATTAATGCAGTATAAATTGCAATAGAAAAATATCGTAGTAAATGGCATGGTTTGTTTGATTTAAATATAATTGCACTTATTAAGAGACCATTTATACTTGAAAAAAAATGGGAACTCCACGAAACAAAGACATTTTGAAAGAAGTATGAACATACTATAAATGAAATTATGTCACTGAAGCAGAGACAGAAGATTATTATCATGCGGTAATCTTTGTACCTGACTGTCTTCCAGTTCTGAAAAATAAAAAAAAATAATATTAAATATTATAATTTATATTTATGTATATTTTTAATTTTGTGAAAGTAAAAATGATAATGCTGAACACCGAAATAGTAACTTATAAAAATAGTGATCTTATAAATTTTGAAAATCTCTGTTCTAGAGGGATGTTCAAGTTACCAAAAATTGATCTTGTTTTTGGATAAAGTCTGAATATTGAAGGAAAATTGTGATAACTGAGACAGATCAAATTTAGAAAAAATAATTCTCGATTCTTTTGAAGATCACATCTTCGATTTGATTATATCTGCAACTGATTATAAACATTTATTTTTATTCTTTAGAACACATTCCAAATGTAAACTAGGTTACTTTAATAAATGAGACTTTGTATATAATTTTTTATTAAAACTATGACATGGCAATCAGTTTTTCAATACTGCCAGAAAGAGATTTTATCTTGTTTATATTTATTCATTTACAAATGAAGTGGATCATTCAAAATAAGATGAAAAAATATTTCTCATTTAATGATTTTAAGTTTTAAAAGGTAATTTACTTTCTCTTTTATAAACAGTTTATACAATGATCCACTTTATTTGGAAATGGCCACATGTAAATATTGTAGGTGTTCTGTGAAGAGGGTGAATCTTACAATTCATTACTTTCCAGAATAGTGTATGTGATAAGACATTTTATTAAGTGATTTTTTCAGCATTTTCAGATGGAAGATTTTACATATTGGTAGCTGTTGATACCATAAATCTAAAAAGGATGAAAATATGATATTTTTTACTCTTTAGAACAGAACACCTACAATATTTGTGTATTTAATAAACATGGTGGATTATTTTAACTCACTTTTTAGTGTAATGGACATCTGTCCAATTTTAAAATCTTACCATCCCTAAATGAAGAACATGAGACAATAACATAGAGTAACTTGCTGCTGATGTCCCTACCACTTTTTCTTGTCTGTTAGAAAGATTGCAACCAAAAACTCCTGAAAGATCAGAGTTTAATACATTAATTTTCAGGGAAATGAAAATTCATACAATACTCGCAGCCTTAGGGCTGGACAATGTGGAGGAAGCTTTTACTGTAGTTTTAAGTAATTATTAAAATTTCTAAACGTATAGGATAAATTAGTTTTAGCCTATTAATAGAGAAACTTGATTAGGAATAAATTGAATTTAATACAATGTTAACATACAGCACAGGCGGATATACAGAGGGAGGGTTTCGGACTGAAGCTCGTAAAATATAACCATGTCTTATAGAAAAAAATATTAGAAACTATCTCTTAAAGTATTATTGTTCGTGTAATTACATTTAATAAAACTTCAAGAACCACTTAAACACTATTTCATATAAGTAGTTAATTTTCTTTTTTTTTTTAATTAATTATCGTTGTATATATTTCATTATTCGATTCTCAACCCTATGGAACTCCATCCCTCCCGATATCCGTCAATCCAAAACCCTTTCTACCTTTAAAACCTGCCTGTTCAATCATTTCTTATCCATCCAGTCCCCATGAAACTGTAAATTGTAAATTATCAGATCATTCTTCATTATCTTTACTTCATGTTTATTTTCAATTTTTCATTTTTTTATTATTAACTGATTTAAATTAGAAAGTAAGTTATAGTTTCTTTTATTATTTTTTTATTTTGACTATTCACTTACTCTATATTTTTGTTTATGTATCTCTGACGCTCCTTAGCCCACATTTTGGTCTTTCTGTATTATTCTAAAGGGACTTGTTCCAGAATAAATAAAGCATTATTATTATTATTATTTCCATTCTTTATTCTCGCTTTGCGGGGTAAGTTTCTGAGGTGGGAGACCAGAAGTCCAGCCACTTCAGATTAATATCTATTACTTTTTAGATATTTAAAAACTTTCGAACAATACGTGCCGTATCCAAGAGAACTGAGTGTTGAGACTCATTCAGCACTTCAAGAGGTAATTTTAATCCCATCGTGCCTGCCACTGTTGTCTTTGGTATCAATCCATTGGAGGATATTATAATTGGAGTGGTGGTGACGTTCCCCAAATGATATAATTCCTTCAGTTCGATTGCCAGTTCCTGGTATTTTCTCAGTTTTTCTCCAACAGTGGAGCTTATATTATTATCATTGGGGATCCCAACATCAATAAGCTCTGCTCTTTTCTCTCTCATGTCTATCAGAAGGATGTCTGGTTTATTGTGACGCACAGTATGGTCAGTTATTATCGATTCATCCCAGTAGAGCTTGAGACTACCTTTATTATTATTATTATTATTATTATTATTATTATTATTACTATATATGAAAAAAAAAAAAGCTTTCGGGCTGAAGCCCTCCCAAAATTAAATCCTTTATTTGTGTTTCATTTTCTCCTTCTAAATTGCTTTTCTATATTTTTGCAGGGAAGGGAGGGGGGGGGAGGGACTGATGAAAGTGCTTAATACATATTACAATGAACAGAAACTAAAACTGCTAAATTTCTATAAATTAATTTAGTTTTTGGGGTAATTAATTTGTAATGTGTTGCATTACATGAACAAACATTTAATTTGAAAAAAATAAATAAGTCTTCTTGAATTATTTTTTGAAAGTTTTAGAACTGAAAATTTATTATCAAATTCCTGACTATTGTAATTGTCAGCTAGTCAAGATGAAACCCGCCACCAATTGATTTTTTTTTTTTTTTCAATGTTTTGACCTATATAAAAGTAAAAATTCAGTTTTAGAGATTGGTGTTTTTCATCATGACTGCCTCCTATAGTGGATAAGATTAAATGCACGGTACCTGCATGATTAATTAAAATATAATTAATAGTATTCATGAACCTGCAATTATTCCTGTAGTATAGACAATAAATGCTCGCAAAGTTCCTTGGTCATGTTCTGTTAATATTCCAACAAGTAGAAGAAATAGTAAATTCGGTATGAGATGATAAAGGTTTGAATGGAGAAATGCATACGTTACTGCTCGCCACAATTCATCCCTTTTACCTGGTGCAAAGCATAATAAATCCAGTAAATGCTCGTTTTCTAAACAATAGCAAATTACCTATGAAATAAAAGTAGCAGTTAATACAATGGATAATAATTATATACATATATTATTATCTATCCAAGAAAGAGTATTGGTTATATGAAACTAAACATACAAGCGGCTTTATATCAAAGATGGTCATCAGTTATTTTTAAAAAGTTGAGAAAAGCCAATTTTTCTAACATAGCTTCAGTTTTAACAGGTTCTAATGATTTTGTTTCATATTTGAACTTGAACATTCTTAAATAAAAATATTAGAAATATTTTGAGTTGAACTTATAAAACAAAAATTGACTTTTTCTTAGCTTTCTGAAAATGACATATATCCATCCGTCTTTGATATGAGGCCACTCATATATTGTTTTATCACAAGTACTGATACAAACCTGTATCTGTACACATTGCAATTTTATTTTCACTCATCTATATGGTATGTGAAACTTACAGTTAGAGAAAGTATTGTAATCAATTGTACAATTGTAAAAATGTCTTACAACAGTTTTCAATGTATTGCATATTTCTGAAAGAAATTATTTATGAATATTTAACCATACCAATCTTTTATTTAACCAACTCAACAATACAATAAATTAAATAAATTTTAAACCTAAATGATTCAAATTTACATGAATTTTTAAATATTATTATATCAATGAAATAGATAATAGATCAATATTTTCAAATAAATATTTTTCTTCTGTAGTTATCAATATAAAGTTTTCAAAGAATTTTTTAAATTGTCAAATTTCACTGTTTTGTTTTAAAAGTGCTTGCAAATGAGTTTGGAAAAATGTCACCAAATTAATATTTCATTACTCCCTTTCATAAACTAACTAAAAAATAAAACTAAAAGAGTCTACAAAGAAAGCTGCTTCTGTTGTGAGATCATAATAACGATAGTATCTTTTAAAAAAACACTTGAGAAATATTGGTTTAATAATTATTAACAATTTTTTTTATCCTAATTTTAACTTTTTTTTTTCTTTTTTGGTCAATAATGAAATTTTTTATGATTTTGATATGTAAAACCAAAATTTATATAAAACTAAAATTACCTATTTAAGGTTGGTATATGCCAGGGATGTTATAGCAACTGTTCACTAAAATAAACTTACTAATTAATTAGTTTCACTCATTTTTACAATTTTCTCAAAAATGGTACTAAGCATTTTGACTGATCACGTAATATCAGTTTACAATTAAATAGTTTTTAGTATAAGATCTTTAGTATAAGGCCTTATCTTTATTCAAATAGTTTGACTGAGCTTTAATGTAAAAATTTGAAAATGGCTTCCTCTAAAGTACCTTTAATATATTTTGTTTGAAATAATAACAGTCTCTCATGGTTAGTAGTAATAAGTAATTTACGAAATATAGAATACGAAAGAAATTGATAGCAAAAGGAGAAACAGTTTACCAGTTTTAAAACAAATTTGTGGAAACAAAATTATTAATTTATATGTATTATACAGCATTGGAAAGCTAACGATTCTAGAAAAATGAAAATCTTGCACATAACGTAGTAGAAAGTAATGGAGAGTGATGAAAAACTTATGATTAATAATTTCTGAAAACTAATTTTTTTTTTTTAACAGAAATTCAATGTTTCAATAGAAACTAAATAAAATTTCCACACTGAATTGAAACTATTAAAATTATGTTCATACTTTAAAACCATAAACATATAATGCATCGAAATGTACTAGATTTGTTAATAATCTATATTGACCTACTTTTATGAGAGAAGAGGTGAAGAAGTGCACTGAAAATCATTCAAGAAGTGTTTATATGTTGGATAAATAATAAATGGTAACAACCTTATCCCCAGCAATAGATGTAAATAATTAAATGAGCCATTGAATTCAAAAGTGGTGTAAGCCAAAAACTGAAGCTTTGAGATATCCAACAATTTTGGAGGATGTTAAACAAAGAAGTTATAGATTACCTATCTTCAATAATATCTATCTGTTAGTAAGGAATGACAGATTACTTTCTCTTTAAAAATTACGGTCCCAAGCATATCGAACTATTTAAAAGTATGATAATAATACATTAAGTAAGAAGCCATATTAGCGCAGATATTTAATGATTTAATTAGAGTAAGAAGATAAAGTTGTGTGTGGTGCTCTCTGCTCATAATTATTATTATCCAACTAAAAATATTTAAAACCTAAAATAACTATTTACTTTTAAATCTGTAATTCATTCATAATCTTAACTAAATTTCCATTAACATCAACATTATTAGAGCAGACAAAATCTTAAAAATATTTCTTGAATGTTATCTTGATAGCGATATAAACATTAACAAACCTACTGTTTCATATTCCTTATACAAATAGTACAATATTTAATCTTTAAAAATGTTTGCCTCTGCTTTCAATTTGCCTCAAATTTCAACATTCCTGAGAATATCGTTCACATCCACACCTATTGAATGATCATTGAACATTACACTTTGAATTCTGCTTGTCCTTGCTGGTCTCAGTGGTAACTAGTTAGCCATTTCAAATAACAAAACAATACTCTCAATACAGTTAGCAACAAAAACATTTTTCCTCTACATAAAATGGCAGTTAACTTGTATATAGAAAATTATTAGGTTCTAGTAGGACACTGGAGTTATTTTATTTGTGGTAATAATTTTTTTTGTTTCTAAAATTGGCTGATAAGTAACAACTTCAATAAAAATTGAAGGAAAAAAATCCTAGTTTTAGTATAAGTCTGTAAATATTTTAAAAGATAAGCTAAAAAAATATTTATATAATGAAATAATGTTTCGTTTTTTAACTCATCGAAGTGTTTTCAGTATAATATCCTTTAATTTTCAATTATACCATTCATCACTAATTCTCTGTAAGTCTCAATTTTATTTTATGTTTCTATGGATGAATCCATCATTAATCTTTCAGTGGTAACTTAGAACTTGTAAGTGGAAGCAATCAGGTTAGATTTTTTTTTGTTTATATTTATGTAAATTGTTATCTGTATGTTTAAAGATATTTATATCAACCTAATGAAAAAGTTCAAAGGCCTAACTAACTTTGTTACAAGTACATCATACATTTATTTCTCAAAACTTTATTTATTTTTATTTTTATAAACCATCAGCCTATAATCTAAGGAAATATCAGGTCATAAAATGGTTACTTCCGTTTAGTAAATTAGTTGTCAATGTAATATTTGTGAATCTTAATTATTATTAATCATTTACTGAAAAAGTTTGATGTTCTTAAGAAAGAGGAAAAAAAACATTCAGCAATCCTCCTCTTCATAACTGTAAACAAAAATGAATTGATAAAATATCCGCTGCTGTTTCTATGTAGTATATTTAGAAGGAATGACTCAGTAATATTTTTAAAATATTCTAGTTCGAAGCTAGCTGTGATAAAGGCTTGATGATATTATTGAAATTAAACTTATGAGCACATTTAAAAAAAAAAAATTGAAAAACGTAGTTACTGATTAATTATATTTTTATCTTTGATTTTCTTTTCTCTGTGTTGCATTAGTGTTATCAATTTGAAGAAAATAATAAACAAGTGTTGTGGCTAAATCAGTCCATCAACATAATTTTTTCATTTTGTTCAGTCAATAAACGACTGTAGGAAGAAATAGTAAAAATACAAGTTTGGTCTTTGGAACTTTTGTACTAGTAAGCATACTAAAAATCCTAAGGCATACTAAAATGAGCTAAGTATATTAAAAGTCCCCACTTTGAGGTGAGCCAGATGTGGGGGAGTAGGCATGATCAATTTTGTTAAAATTACAGCCTTAAAAAATCAATTGAGACTTATATAACTCTTTCAAATTCTATTAAATAAATAATTTTGTGAGTTAAAATAATCTAATTCTTAATTTAGGCACAAGCATTGATGTAGATAAATCTGTAACAAGCGGTATTTATTTAATAGGAAATGAATAAACACCAGTGTCTCAACAACTCTTTTACAAAAGCCTGTTATTGCTGAAACTAAAATTATTTATGGGTTTAATAAATTGCGTATTCTTAAAGTAGATTTTCTGTTAATTTTTATTACTTGCTTAAGACAAAAATGAGTACCCTATGGATTACGCGTGGATCACAATCACTTCAGTCATGCTTTTTCATGGAGTGCGGAATGTATCCAGGTTTATCCGAAATACTATTTTCGGCATTTGATGAAGAAGTGTGATCGAAGTGATTGTGAACCACGCGTAATTCGTGCGGTACTAATCTAAATAATTTCCCAAAACTAAATTTAAATGTAAATGTATTATATAATGTATTTGGTTTATTTTATTGAATATTTAAAACTAAGATTGACCAGAAAAACTCAAAACTGTGTTTTTAACAAAATTGTACTTAAAGGCTTTTGTAACGTGATTGTCGATATTGGTTATAATTATAAATTAAATGCACACGATAAAATTATTTTCTTTTCATATAACACAACTAATCCGAACTTCAAACTCTGTCTATACAAGTTCAAACTTCGAACATTGTACATCACCATCAGTGTAGTCCCAGCTCCGTACCGATACACTGAACTATTATTGAAGTTATTCCTTATAATAAAATTAGTTTATTGCATCTCCTAACGAATTATGATTTTAAACTATCCGAGAAATGAATGAATAAGTTTATTTGGAATTTAAAATATGGTACAGATATAATTTTTAAATAAATCATTACCGCCAGTTAAATTAATCGATCCTTAATGTACGCATTCTTTTTATCTTGTATAATTATTAATTATAATCTACAGGATGAAATTATTTTATTTTCATATGTATTATTTTATTTCATATGTAGTCACTTAGGCTCTACAGGTTTGTGCAAGTTCTATCGCTGTACTTCGTTCTCAGTATCGTTCAAGCTGCGTACCGAAGCAGTTCTCAAAAATTATTAAAACTATTCCTTAAAAAAGTTGTTGATTTAATCCCCTTATGAATTATGATTTTGAGTTATCTGAGAAACTAATACACGGTTTTCTTTGTAATTTACAATAAGGTACTAATATGATTTTTAAATAAATAATGATGCCTATTAAATTAATCGATTACACTGTTCTGCATCAAAATCCTCCATTTAATAAAAATTTTGTTTTTAATTATGTTTTGATGTATGCTGAACACGAATCCAATGGCAGAAAATCTTTATAAGGCACCATTTAATGTCAAATTAGTATCATCAATAAAAAAAAAGATGTATTTTTTGACATTTTGGATATTTTTTTATCTTTGAAAACTTCAACGAAAAATGAAAACAGTTATTTGATTTCGAAGCTGTTAAAATGTATTGCAACATGAAAAAATTCCGAGAGCTCAAGTATTAGGCTCCAAGATTTTTTTGCCACATAAACGCACTCTATTTAACGACCTGGAATTCAAAGAAAAATTATATGGAAATGAAACAAAAATCTTAGTTTGCGTTTGAAAATTTGTGTCAATAGTTTGTGGACGACAAAAGAGCTACAAATTACAAAAAAGTATTGTTTTAAGAATTGCTTTTATCATATAAGGCCACGGACTGATCTATGGGGGGAAGGATGGGGCTTTCGGGATGAAGCTTCCCCCCTCCAAAATGGTGAAATATAGCCATGTTTTATGAAAAAAATTATCTTTGAAAGTATTATTGTTCATCTATTTACAGTAAATAGGACTTCAACAAACACTTAAAGACCATTTCATATAGGTACTTAGTTTCTTTCTTTCTTCGGAAGTCTTCAGATTCGAACTCATCTCATATGAAAATATAAAATCAGGAAAAAATTCTCAAGAGAGAGAATTTGTTTTTATAGAGTAGTGTTATTAATATACGCACACGTATTTAGATAAATGATTAGCAATTGCACGATTACGTGTTAGAATTTATATAAAATTGATTTTATAAAGCTTTTGTTTCGTTACGTTATTTTCCTAAAATTATTGTGTACGTTAAGATAAAAAATCTAACAGTGGCTATGGTTTCTGGAAATTAAAAATCAATTTAATATTGGCAAGATTATAATAAACTCAGCATTGTGTTTATGAACTTACCCTATCTGTAAAACCCACACCATTTTTCTTAAGAAAAGGTGGGTTTACAAGCTTACACGGAAGTATTTGTAATTTTACAAAATAATTAATGATCGCTACCTATTAAATATTTACTGATCTAAACAATTAACGAGTATAATATAAGCTATAAAATAGTTTTGTTTTGAATAGTTTTGTTTGAAGGTTTCTTCGATTATTTTATAAATGATTTAACCATTTCCGGCTCTGCATTTATAAATTATTATATTAATATATAATACATCCTAATATTTCTTTAATATTCATGGTAATCTAGTTTCCGCATAAATCTCAACAGTTTTATAACAGTACTTTAGTTAAAATGTTTCCAAATGAAAAAACCATCATCTCATTTTATTGATTGAATTAAAGCCAGGAAAATCGAAAAGCAAAAATAAATATTTTTTATTTAAATTAAAAAATGTATTTTTTTTATTCTTGTCAGATAAGTAAGAATTGCCTTATTGTTAATATTTCAGTGGAGGCTATATTGATATAATTTCAATATAAAGTTTATTCTTGCATAATTAAAACTTTAGTGATATTTAAATAAATTACAAAAGTGTTTAGTGTAATAAGGAATGTAACATCTATCATTTAAGCAATGTCGGAACGAGTATTTTTGACAAAGACAAATTTGGCGCTGTCTAAATTTCTCCCCTCTTCAGCATAAAAGTCAACAATTTAATAACAGTATTTAGAGAAATATTTCGAAATGAATATTGTCGACTCGTTTCTTTTTTTATAGAATTATCAAAGGGCAAGAAAATCAAAAAGCAAAAACCAGTATTTTTCACTTAACTTAAAAGTAAATTTTTGCCCGGAATTTCGCCGCACTTTAAAAGCTTTTACCTGGAGGGAATCTCCCCCTCCCCTTGTTTTTGGCCTGCATTGCGTACAATTGGACAGTTGCTGATTTGTATTTTTTTATTTTTCTAATTATGAATTTTTTTATTTTATTTTTTTTTTTACTATTCTGAAATCTATTATTCCGTGGTGCAGATCACTTTTTATCGAATTATTAACGTCCGTCTGAAACTTCGTAAATTGTTTCATCTCATCGTAACCTACAATTATTTTATTTACGAAAACGCATGGAATTGGGTCGTTTTCAATCTAGAGGAGGGCAATCTTTGTCTATTTAGTTAGGTACTAACAACTTGTAAATACCCATTTGCTTTCTACTTGGATCATGGAATAATTTGATCACAAAATCAATAAAAAAAAGGCGTTCTACAAAAATATTGGGTTATTTTGAAAATTAGAGGGTGTAGGTCACGCCAAACGGCTCAATATTTTTGAAGGCCACCTTTTTTTCTCGATTTTGAGTTCAAATTATCTTGATAATTTGAGTGCTATCAGTTGGTAGTTTCTCAACAAGATATTTCATGTTATTATATTCCTAGGTGCACATTTACTAGTTGTATTTTTTTTTTATAATACCGTTGTAAATATCAATGAATAAAAAAAAAAAAATAAAAAAAATTATCTTAATTAATTAATTGAATGGATACCACGGACTATATCATATTCGTTCTATCTATTTGCGTTATTCTGGACAATTGATGAGATGGTAATGATTAAAAATTAACAATAAAATTTCGGATCAATAAAAAAATTATTATCTCACCTGAATAACGCAACAGCTGACTGTGAATGGAGCATTAACGATTGTTGATATCACCTTTTTCTTTATATCTCTAAGCTTGTTGCACTCTCGAGAAACTGTACCTTCTTCCAATGCATACATTTTCTCCTCATCCGTTACTTCCAATTCCACTACTTTGTAATCCATTTCGCACTGAATCCTAGCCTAGCCAGTTTATTAATTTTTTCATCACATTTCGAACTGCTCAAGTTCAATCTGAAAATATAACGTACAGAGTGATTCGCGAAACGTATTCACTTATCGTTTGTGGATTCTCGACTGACTCTTAGAGATAAAACTTATCTCAGAATATTTGATAGCGTAAGATTGATTAACATCATAAGATCTTTATAGCGAGCGTTTGAGTAATGTTCAAGCTCGTTAATTATAATTGTAAATTCAGCGAAAGGATTTGTTGAAGTCGACTTACCAGCAGATCCAATGACTAGATGTTTCGTAGTCTCTTATTATTATTTCAAGTTTGTTAAATATTTTATATACACTTGAATTTTTTTTTTTCAAAATCGAAGTAGCAGTATGTTGCACAGTATCTCTTCTGTACGCGAGTGTCGCCCTACTAAACAATCTACCACTGCGGAAGCCCCGTATCAGCGTATAAATGATACCAACTATTTAAATAACAGACTACTATGATATATTAAAACTGGGTTAATTATCAAAAAATTATTTATTTTGATGTATGATTTCAAACTATGTTTTTTTTGATTTATACGAAAAATATATTTCATTTTATTGAACTGAGGTTTGACCTTAAAAATTCAAAATTTTTCAATAAATACAGGTCTACCAAATTACCACAAAAGTTCATGATAATGCCAGTTCTTCAGCTGTACCAACGGTAAGTGAACTAAAGTGTCCTCCGCTTTCAATGCAGAAGTCCCACCAAAATTGAATTTTTTTTTTTCTTTGATCCAGATTTGTTTCTATGAGTGATCTAAGATAATCATTATCTTATTACCACGCATGGGCACCTACTCGAAGGTAGTTCACCATCAAGATGTCACAGATGCAATACAGTTTTAACAACGGTACACATTTTGGAAAATCATCCCAGCTTGGTTCCACCAAGCTTCATTTCGCCTGCTAAGATATCGTCAAGCCCTAGGACCTGATAATCAGAAATACTTACTTCAATTTCTGAAAAACACATTTACTATCGGACATATTTAAACAATACAATCTTCATACGCGTACTCACTACGTAAATCAGAAATAACCTATGCAGCTGTAACAACACGTTCTTTAAACAAACATCCTAACAACATACGCATCTAAAAAAAAAAAATACAACTGATCCCTGCAGACATATTGAAATGTAATTAAATAATCAATAAGGTGCCTCTAACCTGTATAGTTCCACACAGCACCTAAAATAAAATAAAATAAATGAGATAATAATTAAACAATAGCGATATGTGCTATTTTTAAATTATTCCTAAAAACATTATTTTTTCTGTAATTAAGTTTTTTTTTTATAAATAGGCCTTCAAGAACCAATGAAACATCATTTCATATATTTTTTTCTTTTTCATACTGAGTAATAACTACTTTTAAAAAAACAGAGAAAAAAGAAGTTAACCCCTAAAATAAATCCTAAATCCGCTACTGGTATTTCTTAACAGCCCATTAAATAAAAACTACTGATAATTGTTTTGTATAATTTACTTAAATGATCAATTTTTTTTGGCATTATGCATGGGCATAATAACTGATATGCCAATGAAGTGCTTATGTTATTTGATATGAAAAGCGAAAATAAGGTGTAAATAATTTCTGATTGATGAGTTAATGTAAGGATAGCAGGAATTGTTGTAGGGAGGGGATATCTGTTTTAAATGGTCAATGGTAATTGACCATTTAAAGAGGGAATGGTAAAACGGATCACAGTCCATAGATATATTTGTAAAGGAAAAAAAAAAACTGTAGAATTGTAATATAATAAAAATAGTATGGCAGTTTGTGATGAGAAGAAACTGTTAATTTCATTCTGTAATGTTTAAAATAAAATTAATGCTAGTAAAGAAAGTCACTATACATAATACAGAGGGAATTGGATTACCCAGAAAAAATATTGGATACCACTTAGACATAATTTTATATACTTTCTCTCTTTTTCTTCCAGAGAAATTACAGTTAAAATAAAAAAAATTAAAAAAAAGTCCCCCAAAATTAAATCCTGCATCCACTACTGCTCCATTGCGGTAACTTGTATTTTCAGTCAATTATATCTTCTTCCAGATTACCAATAATATATACTTTTTCCTGTCCCTTCTTATTATTTTTTGTTAATAATAGCAGATGTTAAGATTTGGTCAAGAAAAGCACCATCTCCTTTATAAACTATTGTTTTCCTATCAAACATTCAATTTCACTTCCTAAAATTTGAATTCATAGCTTTTTTAAAAAATCACAAGGTCCTAAAAGTTAGGGCTTTAAAGTTTGTATGTTGCCGGCACAAATTGAATCAGATTTGTGTATGTTAAGTATAGATTCTGCTAGTTTAGTTGCAGTATCTAAAAAGAATCTTCTACATTTTAAGATAACAGGTTTGTTACCCAAAAACATTAATTCATTGCACTTGAGCCACAGAATCTACCAGGAATGTAGAGCAGTCAAAAGTAATTAGCTTGAATTAATTTAAACTTACAATTGCGCAAGTTCCCACCAAAATCAAAATCTTTGAGTGGGACTCATTTTAACCCAATTTTGAATTTTGAGGGGCATATTAAAACAGGGTTATGAATTTTTGGAGTGAAAAGTTTCAAATACAGAGAATTAGAGGGAAACATGGATCAGACCAGACCAGGTGTAATTATATATGATCCATGAATTTTCATATTCTACTTTATCTAGCACTGTTTTTAAGATGATGAAAGTAATTAAATTGTTGGAGGAGGAGGAAGGTTCATGCGCCATCCATTTTGGAAGGGATGGGCACCTCCGCAATGTTGTGAACTTGGTTTTGTATAATTATTGGTAAATTTCCATTTCTTTCCATGTTCAGCATATAGATTGCGTTGATTTCTATTGTCCTTAGGACTTTGATTCCAGATATTCTATTGCTATTTTTAAATCAACAGCACAATTTTTAAGAAGAGCAGAGCAATATAAATTGTTGAAAGGGGGAGGAGTTTGTGTCCTTTTCTTGGAGGAATGGGTATTCCTATTTCAAATAATATCTTAGATAAAAGCTTTTATTTTGCATTATCATTAAGATAATAAATCTACATACCTCTTATTAGTTTTAATTTATTTCAGACTACAGTTGTGTTTACTGCATCTCAGTTTTCATTATAATACTTATTGGATTTCAATATATAGTATTTTGTCCACTTTTGTTTATCAGTATATTAACAATGCAATAAACATACTATTATGGAGCAAATAGATGAAGCATCAAATTACCACCTGATTTTATCAGTATGGGCGGATCATATGCTCACAGAACATGGATTATTTATGTTAAATCAATAAACGACTGTCTCAAATGGTTAGTGTTGGAGAGAAAAGAAAAAAAATCAGTAAGGGGAGTGGGATGATATATCAGCTGCCAGAAAGTTCTTATCAGTTATCCTTCTTATTTTATTTATCAGCTATTTAAATGTAAACATCAAAAAAATCATGTTGATTTAAAAAATAGTGGGTGGATTAGGTCCAAGCGAATAATATTTGCATATGATATCGTATCTTAAAATTTATTATAGTTTTATTTAATTAATTAATACTTAACACAATATAAATGCAATTGATTACAAACTAAGTTAATAAAAAAAGAAATGGTATGCAATACATGATGTAAACAAATTTATACTTATTAAGAAGATTCATAATTTTTAATTGGTTGACTGTCGTGGATAATGAAGAGAAGAATAGTTGGGGTGGTCAGTCAAAAAGGAAGGCAAAAATAAATGATAATATTTATTTTTACAAATGCCGACGTTTCGACCTGAAGTTCAGGCCTTCATCAGGGCTAAGAAAATAACCAGATAACAAGGTATGAGAAACATAAGTAGTGATGGTTAAAAAAAAAAGATAAAATAAATAAATATAAAGTAAAATGAAATTGTTAGAATAATGACTAAGAACTAAGAGATAAATAATAATAACCGTTACAAAGTGTGGAATGATGAAGTAGGCGTAATCAAAAAGGGGTGACATAAGTGTTACAATGGGAATAGTTGGGGTGGTCAGTCAAAAATATTTATTAGCTAGATAATATTTTGAAAAAAAAAAGACTATTGTAGATAAATATATAAATTTTAATTATGAAAAATTACAAATGAAATTGTTGATATTCCACTTCTATATCTATATTAAATAAATTGGTATTAAATCATGAAAACATAGACTAGATTAGTCTAGACTCGTGCACTAATTTTTTTTAAAGCAATTAATACAATAATAACTTAAGTAATTAATATTATTAGTGTTGTGTATATTATAATTAGAAGTGGAAACATGTGTTTTGGGAAAGCTAGTTTAAACATTGTGAATTTTAATTTGGTTCCTTTGTGTAGTAGGTGAAAAGGTATTAATAGAGGTGTAAGCAAGTTTTTAAGATGGAGGAAAGTTATGCTTTTCTGTGAGCTTGGAGAAAGCTTTTCTTTTTCATTGTCATTCCTTTATATCGGCCTTATTGTATTATATATCTTCTTACTCCTTATAATTAGATGAAAGTGTTTTGTTACCTTATTCAGGCTTATTAATTTCTTGTATTTAAGTAATTGAAAGATGTTCTCTAAAAGTATAAAAAGTATATATTTACTATTGGCCAATCTATTTTTTTATAAGTATTTTCACCTTGAAATTATAATGCATTTTTAATTGTTACAGGTAATAATATTAACAACTTATAAATTTTAATTGATCATTTGAATACCAATATTATTTTTAATGAAATTGATTAGTTTTATTTTAGAAATTATTAAATTGCTTCATTTAAAGTGATTATAAGACTTATTTTAGGAGAAACTTCTGTACATTGGACAATTCATGTATTAAATAAATTATATGGTTGTCAGCATCAGGTGGAATATATTCGATAAAAATATCACAAATAGCAAAAAGTTTAGTCTTTTGCTCCTAGCTGTTTCTTTCCTTAAAATATGATTTCTTATTATTATATT